GTTTGAGAATGGGTATGTTTTCAAAAGCATTGTGGGCTATTGGCTAAACAGTCATTATGGGAAACTAAATTATATAAACTTACAATCAAATAAATTGTAAAATCAAATGCAGTATCTACCCCAAGCCCATCTACCTGTCCTTCTCTGTCCTTTTGGTATTAGGTATGTCTTTTGTATATTATTGTATAACATGTGCTATTGGCATTTTAACCCAACTGCATGTTTGGTCCTGTCATGTGTGTAACTTGAAATTAGCCATGCTGAGAGCTTTTTCTCCAAGGCAATTGGCAAACACGCCAGTGCGGTACCATGAACTATAATTTCCTTTCATTTTACCACTGATTACCTCAGAACCAGGAGACACTGGAGGAAACCCTCAGTTCTGTGTCTACTCCTCTTTGCCTGCATTGTGGAGTAGCCACAGCAGCATCAGTAGCTAAAATTATTACCCTTTTTGAAATAGCTACTTTTTTCTTTTTAAAAAATTTTTATTTTAACTGACATAATATTTGTATATATTTATGAGATGTAGTGTGATAATACACATACACAATATGTAATGGTGAAACCAGGGTGGTTAGGTGATTAGCATTCTCTTTTTTTTTTTTTTTTTTTTTTTGAGAGGGTCTCACTATATTTCATGCTGGGCTTGAACTCACTGTGTAGCCCTAACCTCAAACTCATGGTGATCCTCCTGCCGCAGCCTCCCCACTGCTGGGTTTACAGGTGTGCATCACTGTGCCTAGTGACATTCCATCTTTTTACCATCTTCTCTCTTTGAAACAACCACAATTTTGCAACTGTTATTCTGTCCCTCAAGACTAAAACCTTTACACACTAAAAGCTTTGAGTTGCAGGTATGGGAAGCAAAAATTTGGGGTGAAAAATCAGGTGAGATAGTAACAACATTTCCACATCCATCCTTCATTCCTGGCCCTATGTAATCAGGCTGGTGTGAGGCACATATTATGCCCTTTAGATCAGCCCCTCACCTCAAAGGCACTGATTCTCCATCAGTAAATCCCTTGCATCTTCAACAGGGGATTCCATCCTTCAGCAAAGCCAGCTGCCTCCGGGTGATTTGGTACAAGGTAAAACTAATGAATGAAGATCAGTGACCGTTTCACTTTTTATTTTGTACAAAAGTGGATTCCTCAGAAGCACTGTTGTCTTTGATACCAAGGCTGTGTACCAGGTGAGTCCACAGGTGTAGGGGCTGACAGACCTGTTAGGCCCAGAGCAAATCTATCAAGCAGTTAGCAGTAGGAGCTTTTGATCCCTTCTTCTGTCTGGTCATCACCCTTCGAAGGACTCTCCCACCCCAGAGTCCCCAGTTCATCAGACTTTTCATCTTTTCTCTGACATTGGCCTCCTCCGTGCCCGTATTAGTTTTCTGTGTCACAAGTGACCACAGACCTACTGGCTTGACAAAGCCCCAATTCATCATCTCACAGTTCTGCAGTGGAGGAGAATGTATGATGTGAATGAAATCACAGCTCAGGGTCTTCTGAAATCTAAATCAAGGAGGCAGAGCACTGTGTTCTTTTGTAGAGTGTTTGGGGAAAAGGATCCATTCTACAGTTCATTCTGGCTGCCAGAATTCACTTCCTTATGGAGGAAGAATTCCAGAGGTCCCACTCCCTGACATGGCCCCTCCATCTTCAAGCCAGCAGCCTCTTCAGCTCCCTATATTTTTGCTCTTAAGGACTTAGGTAATTGGTTTGGCTCACCAAAATAATTCAGGATAATCTCTTTAATTTAATGTTGGCTGATTAGCAAATTTTATTACATCTGCAAAGCCCCATGCACTTTGTAAGGCAATGTATTTACAGGCTTGGTAACTCATCCTAGTCACAATCTGAGGGCTTCAGGTAAGAGATCTTTAGGGGCATGATGCAACCTACTATAGAATACCAAGGTGAAAGTAGTTTAATTTGCTGTGAGGACTGCCAGAGTCCTACCCCTTAATTCTAGAGTTTCACAGCCTTCACCTCTGCAAACCCTGCCAAAATTTTCCCATTTCCCTAAGGCTCTGTAGCTTGCGGCTACTCCTGCCTTTAGCATCTAACAGTCAGAGTTCTTGACTTCAAGCAAAAGTCAAGAATTTTGACTCATTTAGAGAGAGAAAACATTTTTTGGAAGATTGTCTATACAATCGCTTACAGATTTGCCAGAGGGCTGGAGAACCATGCTCTGAGGCTGCTTGAGAGATGTCACAGCTCTGGTACAATGAGAAGGTGCTACCACTGTCTGTGCCACTGGATGTAGGGGGCACAGCAGCTGATGTTGCTGCCCTGAGCCCCCAGAAACCCTTTGATCTTGAAGCTACCAATCTAGCCAGAGATTCTTAGGCCCTTACTTCTTTGTGCCACAAGATCCTTGTTTAAGGCCAGTGGATGAGAATTCAGGGTGTCCAGCTATACCTAACTGAAAGGGAGCTGGGGAAAGTAAGAATTTGGCATTTTTGACTTCTATAGAGGTGGATTGGCTTTGCTCCCTATTTGAAATTACAGTGCAGGAAATTTCAAAACTAAGAAGTGGCTGAGATACGGGGCATCACAAACTATGAGAAATATCATATTTATAGCATGTTACTCATTTCCAATCCAAATCAAGACATACGGTTCCCATAATCAAGGGCAACAAGACAGAATAACTGAAATCATGGCTGCCCTGTCTAGGGAAATAGCTTTACCAGCTATGAAGCTGTCTAGGTCTGGAAACATGGGTTTGGCTAAAACCCATCCTGCTCCTTGTACCTACTGTGACCACCTGGCAAATTTCTTGGTAGGAACTTTCTTCCCTCCTCCTCTTAACCTGCACTCCTCTAAAGAAGGCAATGGGCTACTCCCCTAATTGCCACCCTGCATCTTTCCATTCTCCACTGGAGAGAGGAAGATTGCCCAACCGTCTTTTGTATATAAAAATCTGCTTCCGTCATTTTCTTCTCTATATCCTGTCAGAGGTTCCTGTGGCCTTGAGATCAAAACTCAAGTTCCTTGTTCTATGTTGAACTCTGTCTGCCTCTCCAGCTACATAGCTTACCATGTTCAGCCCAATCAGACCAGGCTACTGGCCATACTGAGTGCTTTCTTCCCCATGCCCCTACCCCAAGCTCCTCTGCCTCTCTCTCCTTTGCATTTTCTCACTATTGTCCAACAGACACATCTTGTCATGAGTCCTCTGCATTAGCCCTTTAGGACATGCTGTCCCTATTCCTCTTCCAGCAGGTGGGCTTTTCTCCTAGGTGACCCCTCAAAAGCCATTTCTACACTAGATTAGAGGAAGGAAGTATGCATTCAGTGATATGCAAGTGTCTGTCAGAGTTGCTGTGGCTTATTTGGATATAGACAGCAAGGGGCCTGGGTAAAGCATCTTGGGAGTGATGAAGTGGGGCTGGAGTCTGCTTTCTGCCTGCCTGGGGCTTAGGAAGCATGGAGGCTTCCTGTGTCCCACGGGTCACAGTCTTGGTAAATGAGGCCAGGTGCCACCTTACTCTGTCAGGAACCAGCAGCTGGAGAAAAGCCTGCTTCTGGGGCCTGTTGAGGACCTACGTCAGGGAGCAACCTCATGCTTCCCTGTGGCCTTCCAAGACCTCCACTCCCAAGTAATGCCAGGGAAAGGGCTGTATAATGAATGTCCTCAGAATACCAAACCTTGTATTTCCCATAGAGTATTGTTTCTATAATCACCTTTTAAGAAGTATGGGTAATATATTTATATGGGCAGCAATAAAATCTTGGAGGTGAACTGAGCATGATAGTGCATGACTATAGTCCTAGCACTTTGGAGGCTAAGGCCCAGCCTGGGCAACATAGCAAGACCTTGCCCCAAAAAGCAAAAACAGAACAAACTGGGGGCATAATGGTGGCCATCTTTTCTTGAACATTGTCTTAGATGGGCAATTCCCTGACAGTCTGTTTCATTGGAGATTAACTCCTTTTATGAAGCCTTTTCCTCATTTGACCTGAAATCTGTCTTCCTGTAATTTTTCCCTGCCATTGAAAACAGTACACAGAAGTGGCTGGAAACATCATTAGCTACTTTTCTTTGGACAGCCACATTCCATTATTGATTCTTATTGAGCTTATTACCAGTTAGAGCCTCTAGGTCAATTTTTAGATGCAGGTCAAGTCTGCTGTAGAGTCCAGGTGCAGAGAGCTGACAACAAAATACATATGGAACTTTACAACAAAACCCTTAAAATCTCATGCTGATTTAGGCTGGTTGTTTCTGAATTTAAGAGTTAAGCCAGTGTCAGAGATGCTGTGAATGGGCAGGAGGTGGCAGGAGAGAGCCACAGAAGTCTTGGCAGGACTGTGAAAATGAAGCTTCCAAGAAACTAGCTGATATGAACAAACAGGGAGCCAGGCAGAACTGGCCTTTGAGGTAAGGAGCAGAAGAAGAGAGGGGAACAAGGTGACCAAGATGAGAGTGTAGCTGCTGAGAGCAGACTTGGCTAACCAGGGAAGCGGAATGAGGTATCTAGGCAGGATGTGTGAGCCCCTGTAGGAAATGCAGCCCAAATTCTAAGTGCAAGCTTGGATGTCACCAAAGCCAGTCCTCTGATCCAGACACAACCTGCAGGGGCAAGAGAGGGGAATGGGAAGATAACCATGTACCCTGAATGTGGTAGAATGTTCCATGTTGATTACAGAGGGTATCTTTAGAGGTTCCTAATGACAGAAAGATGTTTTTCATTTAAAACTGAAGATCATACTGTCAATCCTGGCTATGCAGTAAAAATCCTCCATGTGTATGTATATATGTGTATGTATGAGTGAATATTCTAAACATATATTCTATGTTGGGAAAGAGAGAAATTAATAAAAAATTAATATTGCTTATATTTTCCAAATCTGCCTCAGAGAGCATATGCTTCATATATAATTAGAAAATGCATTAATGTTATCAGAATTTCCAGTTTGCAAGAAGCAGGGCATGGTGAACAGAGCACAGTGATAGGGTCCCTGATTAACACTTGGAAAGGTACCCCTTATCCAAGTGGTGTGGGTATTCTGTGGCCCAAACATTGACCATGGGCTGGCACTCTGCAGGCATGGATGGACACCATAAGGAGTCTGTTAGTCACTATGCACAGATCTTAGGATAAATGTCTGCCCAGCACACAAAATCTTTTGGTTGGAACAGTGCACAGATCACACAGCCCAGCCCTGAAGATGGGGAACTGCCTAAAATCCCCCATCTCGGATGACTTCTACCTGCTTCACGAGTCTCAGTCCAACCAGGCTAGCTTTGGCGAGGGCACGGAGCCAGATCAGGAGCTGCTGCCGCCATATCAAGAACAAGCTCCAGTTCTAGTGTATCATTCAACACCTAGCCAGACTTGGCTAGCAACTCAGCTGGTAAGGGGTAAGAAACAGACTTTATTAAAGGAACTACAAGTAAAGGTCAATGCTGTGGTTTTGAAATGGTGTACGTCCCCCAAGGTTCACAGGCTGGAAGCTTGGTCCTCGGTGTGCAGTGTTGGGAAGTGGTAGATCCTGTAAGAGATGGAGCTGGTAAGATATAAATAGGTCACTGGAGGCATTGCCCTTGAAAGAGATTAATGCAGTTCTCATGGGATATTTCTTGGTTCCACCAAAGTGGGCTGTTATAAAAAAAAAAAAATGGATCTGGCCCCTCAACTTCTCTGGCTTCCATCTTGCCATGTGACCTCTTCTGCATACGGCCAGTTCCTTTTCTGTTTCTCTGCCATGTAGTGATATAGGCAGGGACCTTCACCTGGTCATGAACACCATGCTATTTAAGCCCCCAGAACTGTAAGCTAAATAAACCTGTTTACTTTATAAGTTATCCTACTGTAAGCATTTGGTTTTTTTATAGCAACACAAGATGAGTGAATACAGTCAGCGTAAAGAAATCTGGAGTCCCTATCTTTTCAACATCCCACAGGGGTGTGGCGGGAGCTGGACAGTCTGCTGGGCTGGTCTGATAGAGAGATGATCTATAGAAGAGTGGTCAGGAGAGCAGTTGCTTTGTATGTGGGGACCATAGGGAAGACAAAGCCCTTCTTCTTGGAGCCCTTGGTCCCATAGGAAGCTCAGAGAGCTGGCCCTGATAACCAAGAGCAAGTAGTAGGGATCATTTTCAGATGAGCCTTCTTGTGTCCCTATAGACACTGTCTTTGTTCTCACAAAGTGTACAGCACCCTGAGAAGCCAGACAAGGAACCAGAAACATCGCAGGCTGTGAGGTCTCCCTACCATGCAGCTGCCTAGATTCTGTCATAGTCTATCTTTGGCACCTCCTGAGATTAAAAAACAAAAATTATCCTGCATTTGTTGTCCCTTACCTGCATAGTTAATAAATATGTTCTCAGTGTTGTAATTCCAGTGATCCAAGGAGATGGCCTGTTGCAGGCCACCAGGAGTGTTACCAGCTGTCCTGACTCCTTTGAACACCATCCCTGAAGCCAAGTATGAGCCTTCCCCAATGTGCAGCCAACTTCCATCTGTCTCAGCCCTGGGAGAATCCAGACCTCTTATGGCTTCTCACCTAGCCCATGTAGATCCTGTTCTGTGAGTAAGCCTCTTGTGACTGTCATCTCATCAGCTAATTGTTCCAGGCCCTGTGGCCTGCATCCTTTCCCTCTCTCTTCTGCCTACAGCTACTCTTCTGACTCAGACCTTCTTATCTCCAGCATAAATGACAACCAGTCTCTTAACTGTTCTATTAGTTTCTACTTTCTCTCCCCTTCTACCCATCTTTCATTCTACAACCAGCAGTCTTTTAAATAGAAATCTGATATATAATTCAGTAATAAAAAGGAACAAACTACTGATTCATGCTACCACATGATGAACCTCAAAAACATTATGCTAAGCAAAAGAAGCTGGAGGCAAAAGACCATGTATTGTATGATCCCATTTATTGGAAATGTCTAGAAATGGCAAATGTATAGAGACAAAAAGCAGATTTGTGGTTGCCTAGGGCTGGAGGTGATCCAGTAGCGATGCACATGGGGGCTGTTTGGGGTGACAGAAATATTCTAAAACTGGATTATAGTGATGATTGTACAACTCCATGAATTTGCTAAAAACTCTTGAAATGTACACTTAAAAAGGGTGGCACATGTGCAAGGCGAAGGAGGGCTGATGAGGGTGCACAGGGCACAGTTTTGGTGTGCCCTCCGGGTTCCACTGTGTTCCATGGTTTCGAGTGTAAGCTCATCATGGTGGATTATCATACTAATATCATACTAATTCTTTGCCAGAGGGAAGAATTGTTTTAAATCAGTGATAATAATAATGTGTATTCTTATTAAGAAAGAGACCTATCTACATTACCATTTTTAACAACTTTCCTTAACTCTGTGCCTGGAAGGGAGTCAAGTGTCTTACTGAGGCATCAGCCCCTGTCCAGGCCCATCTCCACTTGCTCCTTCTGAAGAACCTGTGCTCCAGGCATACTGGGTTGTTTGGTGACCCTGACGTGCCAGACACATTTAATGCTGCCATCTACCCTTCATCTCCACTTGGCATCCTGGCTAAACTCCCAATCATTTTTCATGTACTACAGTATGAGCTTTTGAGGAAGAGATTGTCTCATTCATGCGTGCATTCCCAGGGTACATAGCGGGTGCTAAATGTCTCATTCATTTATTTGACAATTATCTCTTTAGACTGGGGCTTCTCAGTCTTGGCTCTGGCAATATGTGCCAAATACTTCTTTGTTAGGGGTGGTTCCTGCCCTGAGTATTGCTGGAAGTTCTGCGGCTTCCCAGGCATCTGCACACTGAATGGCAAGCATCTCCCAACACACACACCTCTGTGATGATCACCAAAATTGGTCTCCAGACATTGCCAAAAGTCCCTTGGCAAGGCTAGGGCTGAGTGTGTGCACAGTTGTCCTTTAGTGACTGCTACTGGTTTAGGGACTTCTTTGTGCTTAGGATCTTCATTTAGTTTCTTGGAAAGCCAGCTGTGACTAAGAATAGGCCCTGCAGCCCATTCTTAGTCCCAACTTGCCCACTGCACTGAAGACTGAACGCTCACAGCTTAGCCAGACGGAGCCCAGCCTTGCCAGCTCACTGGCGTTTCTGTCTAATAACCCTGCTAAGCCAGGATTGTAGTCATGTGTTGATTTCATCATAACTCTGTCTGTCTTCACCTTTTGTGTTTTAAATCATTCACCTCCATGGGAAGATGGAAGCAAACTGAGAGTTGTACAGTTTGGCTTTCTCTCCATCACCCATGAACAGTACACTGCCACAGGCACTGGCTTGTCCCTCCTCATTCTTGGTTTTGTCTGGAGCATTCTTGAACAAAGCCCTTTCTATTGTCCTGGGGATATCTGCAGGCTGCAGCGTGTTCTGGGTTTGGCTTCACTCTTGCTTATCTTACAAGCTGGGGTGGGAGCCTTTGTTCTCTATCTTGCTTAGGGCTGTGCCTTCTCCTCTTTGTCCTTTTAAACATCTGGTCTCCTGGAGAGTATCCTGGGAAGACACTGCCTTTCTGTAGTTGGCTCTGCAGAATGAATTATTTGTATATTCTCAGAATTTTAAAAAGTTTCCATCCTTTTGGTGCTGTCTTCCTTTTCTAGAGTTTCTAGTTCTGCCTCTCTTGAAATCTACTTTCCAATGTCTATAAATAACAATCATTTTAATGCTAAATATTTACATATTAGGCAGATTCAAACACAGACTCTCTGACTCCAAAGCCTGGGGAATTATCTACTTCACCACTACGACTCTGGTTTCTAGAATTTACTTTCTTAGTTGTTGCATTGTCTTGGTTGATCCTTGAGAGCATTTGAGTGCAAATATTTTGTTTGGACAGTGATCCCAGAAAATGATAGTAGTGGGTGGAGTGAAGTAAGAAGAAAAAGAAGACTGTAAAGTGTGTGTCCTGTAAGTTATTGTTGTGGGTGATAAAAACTGAAGCCACTGGGTGGCCCTGGAGACCCTACCCAACACACCACAGTGCCACCCAGAGAGGGGAAGGGAGCTGGGTACTGTTCACTAAATTCCCATCCCTGGGTGCCCTGGACAGCTTCTGGAAGCATTAACTCTGAGCTTTCCAAGTAGCCCTGCTTGGGCCCATTGTGCGTTTCAGTTGTTCAAGGTGACAATAGGGGAGTGTAGAGGGGATGAATACATACCTTGTCTACACAGCTATAAGCTGATGGCTCTGTGTTCTCATTTTCCTTTCTCTGTCATTTTAATAGCTGGTTTGTTGTTGACCAGAAGTGAGACAGTGCAAGCAGTAGTTCTTGTTCTTTTGCTTTCAGAGAGATTACATTGTCAGCAAGGACAGTACTTTCTACTGGGCAGAAGAGAGCTCCCTTACATGTCTTGAGATTCTCTCACTTCTGTGGCTGCTTGTATGAAAACCTGGTCATGTTTGTGAGCAAAGTACCTGGCTTGGGACCAGATGGGGCAAGTGACATGCAACCTTGGAGCCCTGCTGTTCTCCTTAGGAGTCCACTCTGCCCTTCACCCCTAACAAAGCATCCTTCCCTGTGGTAGCCTTGGAATGATTATGATTCTCTGCTATTTTGCTGTGCCAAGACTCCTCTTTTCTTTGCTCCTTTCCCATTCCATCTGTCTGTCATACATAGGGAGGCAAGGAAGGGACCCACTCAGTCACACGATTTGAGATCAACCCATCCTTCAGGGCCTAGTTCAGGGTGTGGACATCCAAGTAAGGCCTTCTAGGGTTCTTCCCAGAGTGGACATGCAGAGGTTAGTCCAGAGAAAGACTTTTTCCCCAGAAGTTTCTAAGAGCCACCATGGACAGATGCTGGGGCGAGCATCTCTCTACTCCTTGGCCTTGTTTCTCACCTTTGCAAATAGCTGTGTCTGTGGGTGACCTTCCCTGTCATCTGGGTGCTCATTCCTGCAGCAGTGGACAGCAGATGAGGGTAGATGTAGCTGCTCAAGCATTGAAAAGCAGTGAACCAGATGTTCACAGAGAGACTCCGATGGATCTTAAAGCACAGCCCCAAGGGCCCACAAATTAAAACTGAATAAAGAGGGAGGTAATGAGACAAGATAATCTGTAAGTCACCTTCCAGTCCTATGTTTATCTGAGGCAGCAGAAGACTCATCCAGGTGAGACTTTGGGACCCATCCTTACTGGCCATGGGAGCATTTCTCTCTGACCCTCCCTGGGCTTCCTGTGAAGTCTCAGGTGTTCTCAGGAGATGGGACGGCTTCAAATCCTGCATTGCCATTTACTGGTTGTGAGGTCCTTGGCTGAGCCACTTGACCTCTCTGTCCTTGGTTTCCTGACCTGGAAAGTGCAGTGGGTACCCTTTGGCTCCTGGGAAGAGCTACAAAGTAAGAGGCAATTGCCCTGGCATTATGGGCTGGTGGTATTCCTCTAAGGCATAAAGAAGTCAGATTGCATTTTACCCCATTGAAGGCCAGGGTGGATATGCCCAGCAGAAGCAGAGATCTGGGTGCTAATTCCAAGCCTGTTTCCTTGCCCCCAATCAGTCCCTTTTTGCTGTGACTGTGCAATTCCTCCTGTCCAGAGAAGCAGAATATTTCTCTGCCCCTTGAGTCTAAGCTGGCCTCTTGACTTGTTTAGATCAAGACAGCATGTAGCAGTGACTTCTGAGAGCAGGTCTCTGGGGACTTGTAGTTTCATTTTTCTCTTAGACCCTGGGTGCTTGGAAACAAGGATGTCCTTCTGGAGAGAGGCTGTATGAACAGAAGCCCCCAGCTAACAGAGAGGGGCCACCTTGGGTCCTCCAGCCTCATGGGGACCATCCAAACAACATCCAAAACTCAATAGTGTGGAGCAGAGCAGTGCTATCCTTGCTGAGCCACCCACATGCTGACCCTAGAACTGTGAATAATAAAATGACTATATGAAACCCCTGAGTATTGGAGTGGTTTGGGATTCAGCAGTAGATAACTAGCTCAGAGTGCTGCATCCTCAGGAAGCAGCCATGGCAAGTGATTAAGCCAGGTGGCTACCCAGGCAGTGCAGAATATAGTGGGCTAGGGGGGCTTCCTGCCAGCTACTGCAGGGTTAAATGCAGCTCTTCCCTGCACCCCCAGGATGCAATTCTGTTCTGTCAGCCCTGAGACCATCAATACTCATCTCATCCCCACTCTTGGAACCGGGAGATGCCAGCGCTATTACCTCTTAAGCTCTCTGTGTCTGTGGGGAGAAGCAACTCACTGCCAGAGGAACGAATGAGGCCCAGCCTTCTGCAGAAACATCCATCGTCCCGAGCTGCTCCAGGCACAATCCCAGCGTATAATTCCCTTCTGCAGGAGCTGGCTCCAAGTGCATCCATCTTCACAAGATCATTATTCATCTGATTATTTTCATGCTGTCCCAGTGGGGAATAAAAGCCATCAATAAATCACGACATTGCTGCAGATTATGCTAAATGACCTAGACAAAGTGCTGGCTGTGCCAGGCACTGTGACCATGAGGGCCAAAACCACTCATTCACAGTGCTCCCCTTGGGCTGGAGAAGGTACACGCTCCTCTTATCCCAGACTCCTGTCCACTTCCCTTCACATCCCCAGTGTTCTCATTTGCCTTAGTGTGATCATAACCCATTACCACATGAGCCCTGGACTTGTCAGAGACCTGTGTTCAGCTTCCACATGGGCTGTGTGATACTGGGCTGGTTGCTTGGCCTCTCTGAAGCTCTGGACTCCTCATCTGCAAAATGGCCGGAAATTCTTATGAGAACTAAATAAGAGGAAGGTAAATGTGACAGATGCACAGTGTAAAGTTCTCTTCATATATGGGGTGGCATCTATATGGTCATTCAGAGTAACCAGAACATGTCATGGGTACTATGGGAAAACTAGATTGGACTGGACACTGAGGTGCCATAAGCAGCTGTGTATAATTTCCTAACTTTAGTTTTGTTTTGGGTTGTGTCTAGATGTCCCCTCAAAGCCTCATGCAGTCATAGGCAGGGCTTTTTCAGAGGTGGCTGAATCCAGAGTGTGTGATGCTAAGATTAATTCATGGTGCAATGCTAGGATCGAGGGCATTAGGATTAAGGGTGTGAGTACTACCTACCCTAAGGATCCTGGAAAGATAGAAGGGATAGAAGCTGCTGAGGCCCCTTGCTTGCTTTTGCAGTCTTCTGTCTACAATGAGCTGTTTTGCCTCTGCAATGCCTCTCTGTCATATGCCACTCTGCCTTGGAGCCAGCCCATTACGGACTGAAACCCCTATGAACCATAAGCCAAGTAAACCTTTTCTCCTTTAACTTTGGGTTTCAGGTATTTTGTCTCAGCAATGAGAAAAGTAACTAAAACAAATTTCCTCGAGTTTCCAGTGGTCCCAGTAGTATTTACCCATCAATTTCACAGAACAGTTGTGAGGCTCAAATGAAATAACAGGAGAGCCCTTTGGCAAAGCGTGAGGTTGTACAAATGGAAGCTGTTTCCTGAATCATTCTTTCTCTAAGCTCTGTTGTTTTTCTTTGGCTTATTTTTGCTTTTACCTATGTTCCTATTTCTTTTGTTTTCAGGATTATTGAATCTTTCCTAAAACTTACTAAAATAATCAAGAAATATTGGGCTGGTTGAGGTTTGAAGGAAGGAAAAGAAACTGTCATTAGTGAGCACTGACTACATTTCAGACATTCTAATATGAGACCTTGCTTACCAGCCCTTTAACATGGGCATTGTTGGCCCCCATTTCATAAGACAGAACCAGGACTCAGCAGTCCAGGTGTCTGCTCAGAGTCACAGAGTTGGAATTTGAGCTAAGTTCTGACCCATTACACCACACTCAAGACCTTCTTTTTTTTTCAGTATAGATGCCAATCAGCTTACCCCAGTACTGATACTTCCTATACCCCATTTTTACCTTTCTTATCACAATTACACTCTCTTAGTTAAAATTCATTTATAGATGCTAGTATCTTGTGAGATTTCTGATGGTCCAAGCAATCAGTGATGACATAAACATAAGATGAAGATTTCAAATTATATTACAAAGCTATAGTGATTAAAACAACATGGTACAGGCACAAAACAGGCATGTGGATCAATGGAACAGAATAGAGGATGTAGAAACAACCCCAGGCACATTCAACCATCCGATCTTTTTTGACAAAGGGACAAAAAATACACTGGAGAAAAGATCACCTCTATAACAAATGGTTCTGGGAAAACTGGCTATGCACATGCAAAAGATGGAATCTAGACCCTTATCAATCACCATGTAGTAAAATAAAATAAAAATGGATCAAAGACCTGGATGTTAAAACAGAAAGACTTAGTCTGCTAGAAGATTGTTTTTAAAAGGTGAAACTCTTGAAAACATAGGCACAGCTAAAGCCTTTCTGAAAAGAACCCCACTTTCATAAGAAATAACATCAAGAATCAACAAATGGGATCATATCTCATTAAAAAGCTTCTGTGTTAACAAAGGAAACAACACATACAGTGAAGATACAAACTGTAGAATGAGCAAAACTTTTTGCCATCTACTCCTTGGACACAGGACTAGTATCTAGAACATGTATAAAGAACCCAGAAAACTTAGCACCCCCTCCCCAAATAAAAGGCCCAATAAAAAATGGGCAACTGAAGCGAATAGACATTTCTCAGAAGTACAAGTGGCCAGTAAATACATGAAAAATTGTTCCACATCACTGACTATGAGAGAAATGTAAATTAAAACCACACTGTGATTCCATCTTCCTCCAGAAGGAATGGTTATTAAGAATTAAAATAATAGTTGGGCGTGGTGGCACTCACCTGTAATCCCAGCACTTGGGAGACAAAGGGAGGAAGGCAGAGGGAGGAATAGCACCTAGGTTTTGAGAACAGACTAGAGTACAGTGAGCTCAAGGCTGGGCTGAACTACATAGTGAGACCTGTCTCTAAAACAAACAAACAAACCCAACAAAACAAAACAAAAAAGAGTTCAAATAACAAATAGTGGTGGGGCTGTGGAGAAAAGGAACCCTTCTCCAGTGTTGATGGGACTGTAAAATAGTACAACCACTATGGGAATCAGAATAAAGATTACTCAAAAAATAGAAATTCCTTTGACCCAGGTGTTCCCCTTCTAGGTATCTTCCCAAAATAGTTAAAAATATCATATTACACTGGTCAGTGCACACTCATGTTTATAGTAACATAACTCAAAAGTTTAATCCTGGAACAGCCTATGATGCGTCGAGAGATGAAAGGATACAGAAAATGTGGTATTTATGCACAATGGAATACTACTCAGCCATAAAGAAAGATAAATTTGAGTTGTTTGTAGGAAAATAGATGCGCTTTGAGACCAGGTCAGATGCAACTTTCGGTGCTCCAGTTCAGTATTTCATGGGAGATCCTACCTGTGCAATAAGGCAAGGAAAAGAAGTAAAAAACATATAGATTACAAAAAAGAAGTAAAACTTGTTTGTGAGGGACACAATTGTTTCTATAGAAAATTTCAAGGAACTGACATCTACTAGAATAAAAAAGTAAATTTACAAAAGCTGCAGAAAGTAAGTATAATATATAAAAATTTATTGTAATTTTATGTTAGCAACAAACAATCAGAAAATGGAAAAATTCCTTTGCTATAATTCCAAAACATAAAAGTACTTAGGATCAAACACTATAAAAGTGTTATACATTGAAAACTAAATAAACTGCTCAGAGAAATTAAAGGTCTAAATAAACCATATTCATATATCCTAAGATTCTACACTGTTAAATATCAATTCTTTCCAAATAGGGATGGTAAATCTATGAATCAATCTAAACCCAAGAATACTTTTTAAAGCCAGATGTTGGTAAACCAATTTTTAAAATATGAAATTGTAAAGAATCAGGAACAACAAATTAATTTTGAAAAAGAAGAGCTGGTATGTAGTAGAGTGTTTGCCTAGTGTGCATGAGGCCCTGGGTTGAATGCCAAGTGCCACGCAAAGAAGGAGGAAGAGGAGAAGCAGAGGAAGAGAAAAAGGAAGAGAGAGCAGCAGAAGAGTAGGAGCGGGGAAGAAGAAGAAGAGGAAGAAGAAGAAGAAGTGGGGAGGGGAAGGAGAAGAAAGAAAGTTGGAGGACTTAACTGGTGTATACATAGATTGAGATTCATTGCACTAAACAAGGTGGAACTAGATTCTTATGTTCAAAAATATTAAAAATATATGATGAATTATTATAAGCCAATAAGAAAAAAACAAACACCTAATAGATAAGCAAAATAGACACTTCAAAAAAAAAAGCTAATAAGTATATGCAGGTGCACAGAGATTCATCACTAGGGAAGTGCGACTTAAAACACAGCTAAGTATTCCCTGTGCATCTAGCAGAATGGCTAAAATGAAAAGATCAGTGACACCAAGTTTGATGTTAGTGGGAACATACACTGGTAAAACCAACAGTTTAATTTTTATCTACTGAACTTGTCAGTGACTCTGCATTCCTGTCTGGGTATGTATTCAGCAAAAGTGCACAGATATGCTAAGAGACATGGCAAGACTTTTACAGCAGCTTTATTTACAATTATCCAAATGTACAGTACAAATGTTCACTAATAGTATAAAAAATTAAGTGTGAGCTCTTCATACAAAGAAAATCTGACAGCAAAGAAAAGGAATAAGCTACAGCTTCTCACAACAATATGGATGAAACTCGCAAACATGATGTTGAGTAAATAAAACTAGACACACCAAATAAACTAAATGATTCCACTTGTGTATTATTATTTAAGGCAGGCAAAACAAAACTACCGTGTTTAAGAATGCATGCCTAGTTAGCTGGTAATAACAGGACAAAGTAGAGGAAGAAAGTGGTTACCATGAAAAGCTATGTATTAGGCAAGGAAATGGAAGCCTATGAATACTGCAGCACATGGGATGATCTGGAGGAATTAGGCATTATGTATTTATGGGAGAAGCTGGGAACTGGCAGACTCAGAAAAAGAGCTGAAGCATAGGGAAAAGCTACTCCCTGAGTCCCTGGAGGACTGTGTGGTGTGAGCTGGACACTAGAGCTCCTAGGAGATGGGGAACTCAGGCCAGGCTGCTGTCAGAGCTGCTGGTGAAGGGAAGGAGCTGGGAGAAGGCTGTGCCCCTTGCATAGCTGCCAGGGCTGAGGATGTACAACCCAACGTCTGGTGGTGAGTTAGGGGCCACTTTGGCTCAGCAGGGCCTGCATCAGAAGGAAAACCTGTATGTAGTGCATGGGAGGACAAGGAC